TCTCTGACTGGGGACAGAAGTGACAAAGGTACACCCAGGAATACCTCCAGGCCTGGAGCCCTTGGCGTTCTACTGCTCTCTGAGGTGGCTGAGCCTATCTCCTGGTGGGGCCTCCTGCCAGGGCTGGGTGACCATGTGTGGGTCTGAAGAGCACCTTTTGGGGGGCTGGGCCAGAGTCATGTGCACTCACTGAGTCCAGGAAGGAGGACAGTATGAGCACTCAGGGCCTCAGCCCCCAGGATGGCACTGTCCCTGTGCAGGTGGAGGACCCACAGGATCCCCTCCTGCCAAGGACCATCTGCCTGACTCCGCTTTAGCCTGCTCTTTCCTCCACTCTCCAAAATAGCCCGGGTTTTCATCCCCTTCCCCCACCGCACACACCAATCCAAACAGTGACAAACAGAAACACCTCATCATCCAGAGACAAGATGTTCAGAGGCAAATGTTGGTCTGCTCACAAGAGAGAGAAACACACAGAACCAAACTAGAAGACGGGCGTGCTACCCAGGGTAAGGTCTGCAGGGAGGCTGCCTGGGCCCTCCTGTGCCTCAGACAAGAGGAAGAATGGCCGTGTGGGGAGGGCTGGCACCAGCTTCCCGGGCGCAGGCTCTCGTCGCCCTAGCTCAGAGGGCGCAAAACCAGTGCCTGCTGGCCCTCATCCCAAAGCCTGTCATGATCACCAAGTGGTGGGTCCCTAGCAATGCCAGAGAAGCTGAGGATCCTCGGAAGGAGGTGGGGGAACAAACCTCTGAGCCTCTTTGCTGGCAGGCCTACTTTCAGTTCTCTGTGCAGTCCAGGGGAAGCCAGTCATTACTTCTAACCAAGCCTCCCTTCTTTTTTCTCATGAAAATCCCACAGTGTGAAAAACAGGGTCAGAATCTAGCAATTCTAGGAATGGGGAGTAAAGGAAAGGCCAAGAGGACAGGAGAGGAGAAGAAAGGAGGGGAGGGGAGCAGAGAGGTAGGGAGAAGAGGGGAGGGGAGAGGACAGGAGGATGACCTAAAGGGAGGGTCCGCCTGAGCCCTCCAGAAGCCAGAGACTCTTTCTGAGTGGAGTCACGGGAGGCAGTAGTAGGAGCACTGACACAGGTTTGGATCCTACTTTTGCCATCAGCTGTGCCACCTCCTCGTGCCTCAGTTTCCTTATTTTTAAAATGAAGTCAATAATGCCTGCATCTAGGCCAGAGACAGTGGGAGAAAGCACAGGCCCAGCACCTGCCACACAGCCTGACGAAGGTGAAACCCAGCTCCAGGAGCCTTCATGGTGTGGTCCAGAGCTTGTCGACTCAGGAAGGAAACACTGCAAAAGGGGAAACCCATGCAGAAACTGGTTCAGTTCTCTGCTCAGCTAAAGCCACTTGGGCCCCTGAAGCCTCTGCAGACTGGGTTGGCCTAGGGTCAGTATCAGACCTCTTTAGATTGCTCTTAGAAAAGTAGGAAGAAATAATTAAATAGCTAAGCACCTCTGAAGTTCCTCTGGCCCCCCTCAGACTGTGAATCCACCTTGGGAAGCCCACACCCTGACCAGAGGAGCAGGCAGGTGGGGACAGGGCCTGCCCTCCCATCATACCTGTCCCCAGTGTGGGCCACAGAGGCAAAACCACAGCAGTAGCCAGCCACAGGAAAAGGGACAGGAGTGTGCATCCCCAGCTGGGGGCCCAACCAGGACAGCTCTGCTGGCCAGGCCAGTAGCTAGGCAACAGCCCCTCCTCATCAGCCTGGTCCACTTTCTGTTTGTGTCTTTCTGCCCTTGTCATAACACGCTACTCAGATGATGGGGCTGCCATGTGCGAAGAGATGCCCTGGGGCAGAGCACTGATCCTCTGTCCTCATGTGCCCTCCCAGGGACCCTTCTAGGTGGTCATGCTGTGAGCAAAGCATTCATACACACCCAAGGGGCAAAGAGCTCTGGGCAAGAGTGCAGCCCCAGAACCCCTTGCATGGCACCATGTTCTCAGGCCCAGAGAAGCAATAGAGAAGGTCCCTTCTGATGTCCCCATCTGCTCCTAGGTTTTCTGATGTCATCCACAGGCGGGAGAGAACCTCTGAATATCCTCTAGGCCAGAGCAGGAAACTCACTACCTATTCCCACTGCAAACAGCCACTACCAGCGACTAGAGTCTACTGCAGTCATAGCAGCAAGAACTAGGGAGTTAGGGAGCTCTGGCTTCAGTTCAAAGCCCAGCTACTTTCTCAACATGCAATCTCAGGCCAGCTGTTTGGTTGCCTACAGCCTCTGACTGTTAAATGGAGTTAACAGCCTGGTTTTAAGTTCACCAGGAGGTTTACAGATTAAAGTATGCATAACAAAGTACTTGCAAGGGGTGCTCAATGAATAGCAGGTATTAATTTTTAAGGACTCTATATTCCCAGCAGTGTGTCAGGAAGCAGCTGAGGTCTGGCCTTGCCCATGTCACTCAGCTGTAGGCAGGTCATCTGGCACGGGTGCCAGCCCGGCCCCGAGCTGCAGACCGCCACTCTCATTGGTACTGACAGCCTGAAGTCTGGACGCCACAGGTTGTGTGTTGGCTCTGTTTCTCGTTAAGTGGCTCTGGCAAGATATGGAGTGTCTGACTCCTGGTTTCCTCATTGCTTCAATGAGAAGATTAACCCTGCCTTCTCCCAAACTTCAGACCTCAGCTGAAATGTCCAGGCTGGAGGGGATTCAGATCAAAAGGGCAAAGGAGGGCTGGGGAGATAGCTCCGCAGTTTAAGCGCCTGCCTGGCAAGCTCAAGGACTGAGGTTCGATGCCCAGTACTTCATGCTGTGCAGGCCTAGAATCCCAGCGTGCTGAGCTGGCCATGTGGTAGTGTACCCCTGTAATCCCAATGCTGGGGAGGCTGAGGCAGAAAGATCACCATGAGTCTGAACTGCAATTGTGAGACCCTATACCAAATAAATAACAATAAGATAATTTTTTTTTTTTAAAAAGGGCAAAGGTCCTTGGGTTCCTGGAGGATTCCAAGGAGCAAGCCAGGCTCTATGCTTAATTAAAGAAGCCTTGGCTGGGCCACCCCATGGTGAGTTCATGGTAGTCCAGGGTGGCAAAGCTATAGCACATGTATTATTTGTTTTTCTTTTAAGAGAAAAGATGCTAATGTATCCATTGCTTTTTTAAAACTAAAGCCTCAATGTTCAGGCTTAATTGCAGTACTGGTGCCTTGTGATAAATAAGGGGGTTTGGAGTTGAACTTTATCCACTTGTGTCTAAGAGGTTCAACAGCACTGGTACTACAGGCCCTTACAGTCCCAGAAGAACCTGAGCAGGTGAAAAATCCCTAGAGGCTCCAGGATGCTCATAAATCCGACCTGTCTCCCTTAACCATCTCCTCTTATCCCTCCTCTCTGGTGTGTCCCCTTTTCACTTCTCTGTCAGGCCAAACCTGCCTCCCTATTGCCCTCAGTTTTGAAAGAATCTGTCTTCTTTAGTGCAGACAGCAAAGAGCCAATACTCGTAGGTGAGTGAGCTACGTGAGAAGCCTGGAACTCACGGCAGACTGTGGCCATGGCCACCACGGTGCTTGGCCTTCTAAGTTGGTTTCAGGGTTGCAAAGAATGAAACCAAAGCAGCTGGGATGGGAAAGGACCCAAAAACCACTTTTGCCTTCTAGTGGCTGCCTGCAGCCCCAGCCCAGCATGCCACGGTCCCTGAGACCTCTGCCTCTCTCTTTTAGGCAGGAGAGATGGATCTGCCCAAGTCCAGCATTTATGCTAGCCTAGCCCTTGCCTACAGGCCCATTCTCCAAACTCCTGTCCTCCCTGCGTGGGGAGATAGAACTTTTTCTTCCACAACTAGGATGGTGCCCAGCCCAAGGAGCGCTGGGGGCAGGACAGGGCAGGGCCTAAGTCTCACCAATACAACAGTGTGGGATGCCAAAGATGCTGACCAGCCCCCTGAGTCAGAAGCAGTCCTCAGCCCCAGCAAATCATTCTGCTCTTGCCCCTCTCCCAGACAAACCCCAGCCAGGCTTTTGGCTGTGGTCACGAGATCAAACACAGCTCTTTGGCTTTTATTTTTTAAAAACAATTTAAAGCCTTCTTCTCTGCAGGGTTTACCTGACCAAGAATAAAGGGTCAAATGTCTTCCTGATCACTCCCTCCCACCTAAAGGGGTTAAGAGAAACCACAAGACACTCAGGGAAGGGTATAATCTGGAGGAACCAGGTCTTACCTAATTCAACCTGTGTGCCCCCCCCCCCCATGTGGAGCAGTAACCTGAACCACAGCTTTCTGGGAAGCCACTTTGTGCTGCAGCAGGAAGCAAAGTGGCAACAAATATGGTTTCATCACCAGGAAGGCTGTGGCTGGCAGCTGGCCATGGAAGCCTGAAGGGCCTAGGACAGCAGACCTGTCCTACCTCACTCTCCCCCCCCCCCCCCCCCCCCCCCCCCCCCCCGCAGCTGAGGCCAGGCCATCCCAGGTGTACCAAAGCCTTGGCACATGAGCTGCTCCCTACAGAAGGCAAGCTCCTCCTCAGCTGGGTCCTGAGGCCTGGGTCCAGCTCTGTCTTCACTGTGCTGAACGTGCTGAAGCCCATCAGTCCCTCTCTAAAACACAGTTGCTAGCAAACTGAGCTGCAGGCAGGGTTTCAGCCGGATAGCGTGTCACGGAAATATTAACATAATGCACCCGGTTTGCTTTCCTGCCTCAGGCCAGCAGAAGGCCGAATCCCAGCTCTCCAGGACTGTGGCCCTGAGGAGTGGGGAGCAGCTGAAGATGGGGCTTGAAAGAGCAAAACGGGGAGCACCCCACTGGTGGGGGGGGGGATAATGCGGCAAAGCCGGCAGCTAGGACTGGGTCCAAGTAGTAAGTCAAGTGTGTGCAGGGGGCAGGGTGGGAACATGAGTTTCCCCCAGGGCTCAGAAGGGACCGGAAAGAAGGCAGGATCAGCCCTCAGTGGTCAGCCTCTCTCACCCCACTTCCCTGGCCCTGCCCTTACCCATGACGGCCGCACACCTCTCAGAAACTCGAGAGGAGGAGACCGGGCTCCTGCCACTCACCCTGGCAGCCCGGGAGGAGTAGGGGTCCTCGAAGAGCGCCCACATGCGGGGTTGCCAGCCGCGGCAGCCTCCAGAGCCAGAGCCTGGGCCAGCGCCTCCCTCATGGGGACCTAGGCGCTGCAGGGCCAGCTCCCGCTCATCGTCGCCAGCCTCGTCGCTGGGCCCCGCGCCGCCACTGCCCCCGTCAGGGCTCTCAAAGATGTCGAGGGCCTCTTCGGCGTCGCGGTGCTGCCGGTAGGTCATCCAGCAGCAAGGCTCCACGTCGGTCTCGTCGATGCCCCAGAAGGCCAGCTCCTCCTCGAAGAGCGGCCCGCACACGTCCGCCGGGCAGTGCAGCTTGCCGGTGCGATAGTAGTTGAGCACGTAGGCGAAGACGCCGGGGTGCCGATCGAAGAAGAACTCGCAGCCCCCGCCGCCGCTACTGCCGCTGCTGCCCGCGCCTCCGCCATCAGGCTCGGGCCGGCCCCCGCCGTCGGGATCGGCCAGCCAGGCGAGGCGGGTGCCGGGGAGGGTGCGCAGGGTGCTGCGGTAGGTCTCATGTCGCGTGCCGCCCACGTTGATAATGATCTTCTCCGACGCCTCGCCCTTGGCCATCTCCTCCTTCAGACATGTTTTGGACGGAGGCTTGTTCCCCGACTTGCGCCCGCGGTAGGAGGAGACACACACCGAGCTGATCATAAGAAGCGCTGCAGGGCTCCGGCTTGGGGCGGCCGCTGCCCTCCAAACACCCTTCCCGAGAAGGCAGCGTCAGACAGGGGAGGGGGAGGAGACGAGGAGGAGGCAGGAGGTGGCGGCTGCCCCCTCTGCGGCGCGGCCCTGCCCCTGCCCCCCTCCCTCCCGGGAGCTCGAGGCGGGAGGAGTTGGGCTTCTCGGGTGCACAGGTGGTTGGGTTTGGGTAGGCAGCGGTGGGGAGCAGGACCGGAGGGAGAGCGAGGGGCCAGGGTCCCAAGCCACGGACGCGGGCAGGTTGGGGCCAGCACACCCGCGCTCTCCCCCAGGGACCCGACTCGGGAGTGCTGCGGGATGGGGCCACGCCCCCCCAGCCCCCAGGAAGCCGCAGGAGCAAGCGGAGGAGCGCACTGTCCTGGGGCAGCGCGGCGAAGGGCGGGCGCGCGCTCACACTCACGCGGGCCACGCTCGGGCTTCCCGACCGCGCCGACCCGGGAGCGGCCGGTTTCCCCGCGGCAGCGGCGGCGCGGCAGCAACAAGTCCTCCGAGCGGCTGTCGGTACCAGGCCGGCGTTCTCACGGCTGCGGGTGCGCCGAGGGCTCAGGCTGCGTTCGGTGGACGCGAGGCGGAGGTGGCATGTGGCCTCTTCCCCCCCATTCATAAATCCAGCGCCGGGCGCGGAGGACAGGCGGGGCCGCGCCGGGCGAGTCGGCTGCAGGGGTCAGGCGCACCCGCAAGA